GGAGGGAGGGGGGAGGAGTGGGATGGGTGTTGATAGAAGGATCTGTTAACTGTGCCTGGAGCATACATATAGTGCCTTATCCTGCGCGCACTCGCCTGCTCGCTCGCTCTCTCTCTCTCTCTCTCTCTCTCCCTCTCTCTCTCTCTCTCTCTCTCTCTCATTTTAACAAATGATTGTTTTAACCTGAAATTTTAAACTATTATGAGTCATGTTAGTAATTTCAGACATGATGGTGTTTTTTTAGTGACAGTATTGCTGGAGGTTAAACTCAGGGCCTTAAACATGTTAAATAAGTATGCTCTTTACCACTGAGCCATACCCCAGCCCATAGAAGTCTTTCGTATGTCTTGTTATCACAATTAGAAATGAGAGCCAGACGTGGTGGCAAACACCTGTATTCCTAGCACTGGGGAGGCTGAGGTAGGAGGATTGCTGTGAGTTTGAGGTTGTAGTGGGGGCCACAGTGTGAGTTCAAGGTCAGCATAAACTTTATAGTGAAACCTTGTCTCAAAAAGATGAGATAGAGAAGAAGAAAAAGGAGAAGAAAAAGAAAAGAAAGATATGCAGAATTTATCCAGCTATCAGCTAAGATTACATTCTGAATGAGCTCAGCTCAGGGTTATAGTGATTAGTTGGTCCTCAGTGAGCTGTTTCAGGACTGTAATGGAATGGATATTCTTCGTATAGTTGCACTGACAAAGAAGTTAACTATTCAACTCTTACTATTCATAAAGTTGCTCACTGTGAATGTTTTCATGAAATCCAGTCCTGCTGCAAAACCAGAAAATAACCTTCTAAAGCAGGGCCTACCCAGACCCTGAAGGGGTTAATCTGCTCACTGTTACTGCAGCCCTGCCTCACTCAACACATAGGCACATTCACAGTCCATCACAAAAAGGAAAACCTGGGGCTAGGTATACAGCACAGTGGCACAGCACCTGCCTGGCAGGCACAAGGTTGAGTTCAATTCCCAGTACCAAAAAAGAATAAAGGAAAAAATCTAGAGTCTGACAGATCCTCTTTTAATGGTCATAGCCAGGATTATTTTATCAAGCTATGTGGAAGTAAGATTTTAAGCTACATGTGAACACTTCTACTCATAGGTTCTGATTCATAGTGAGAAATAGAAATCACACATGAAGTTTTGGGTCTTGAACAAGCTGTTCTTTGTCTTATTTCCTCCTACTAGATATAAAAGCATTGACAGTTCCCTGAGACTTCAGCCACACACACACACACACACACACACACACACACACACTGTTCATTTTGAATGACATCAAGAGCTAAAGGTACCTGTCACAGGCTCTTCAGTAGTGAGTCACATTGTTGTCTCAAATTGATAAGGATGAAGTGTACAGGCTTTGTTCAGGACTTCATTGTCTCTCAGTAACTATCTTCAGATTGGTTAGGGTTATATAGGGAGAGCTGGGGGTGGTCATGGTGTCCCTGTGCTTCCCAGTCCTTGCATAGGGGAAGGCTACAGGTCAGACTGCCCTGTGCTGTCTATGCTCTGTGGTCCCATTTTCCTGCACAAGACAGTCATTCAAGGTAGCATTGGGCCAGGGAGATGGCTCAGTGGAATAAGCGCTTCCCTGGCAAGTGCAAGGGCCTGAGTTCAATCCCCGGTTCCACCAAAAAAAAAAAAAAAGGTAGCATTAGACTAAAATAAGACCTTTGGGTACTGATAGAAAGTAGCTAATAGGCCTTCAAGTAAATTTGTGTAACTTAAAGCCTACATGATTTGTTTTCTTATAATCCACTATTAACTAACTTTGTTTTTATTTTGCCCCTCAGTTGCCTGCTTCTAGAGAAGAAGTGCGAGATGACAAGACAACAATAAAATGTGAAACTTCCCCTCCCTCCTCTCCAAGGTCCCTTCGGTTAGACAGGCTACACAAAGGGGCATTGCATACAGTCAGCCACGAGGACATCAGGGACATGAGAAAGTAAGGAGCAAGGCTCATAGGCCAACAGACTCCTGAGAAACCTACTGTCTTAGGTTTTAAGAACATCTGTTAATCTTTTCTTGAAAAAAGTTTTTAAAGGATTCCCTAGTACAGTAATTCAGTTCTGATTAAATGATAGACCTGTTTGGGCAAAATTGGGAAGCAGGGAATTATTTGAGATTAGCACTTTGTAGAACAACTACATTTCTTCAGATTCCACACATTCATTGCTTTGAGAATTTCCTTTCTAATCCTAGTGAAGAACATACCACATGCATGTGGCAGATTCTGGATAGTGCTGTTCTGTGGACAGTCAGTGCCTCTTGGGTACTTTCATGCACTCTGGGTCTTATAAGTTGAGAATTCAACATTGTCCTTATCCCTTTAGTAAACATGTCCCATTAGGAGGCCAGTAAGGTTTGCTTGCTAATAAGACTCATTTTTCACATTTCTCGTACGAGTTTCTATTCTGTACCAGGCAGTATGACCAAGGGTGTGCAGTAGTCGCCACAGTGTCCATAAATGTAGACTGCTCTTGCCCGAGGAGAGCAGGACCCAAGGAGCCTGCAGGAGCTACTGAGAGGATGGAATTCTAGTTCCTCTGACTCCCACGTTGTCTTTCCTACTGACTGGGTATAGCCCTCACTGGTTAAACAAGGTCCCTGCAGTGGGTATTCCCTGGGACATCAAATCAGGCGGGCTAGAGTCTAGGCCTTCTCAAAGTGAGGAGCACACATCAGATTCTTGACTTCCTGGAACAGATCTGGGCATATTAATGGGAGCTTAACTTACTGTGCATACTGTACTGAGTGTAAGAGACTTGAAATTTTCTTTAGGAAGTTTGAGAAATATTAAAAATACAGGCTGTCATGGTGCATATGAGGAAATCGTGGAGCTATGATAGTATGTGCTAAAGTCCATTTTCTTTTCTCAAAGCTCGACAGGCTCCCAAGATGGCCCTGTGAGCAATCCCAGCAGTAGTAACAGCAGCCAGGACTCGCTCCACAAAGCCCCAAAGAAGAAGGGCATCAAGTCTTCCATTGGCCGTTTGTTTGGCAAAAAGGAAAAAGGTCGGCCTGGACAGACTGGCAAAGAATCCCCAGGACAAGGTAGGTGGGTTTGCAACAGCAGTCCTAACTGCTAGGAGTTAGGAGAGCGTGCTTTCCCCGTGTGCCTGTTGTGTGACCAGTGCCCACATGGAGCCATGGCTGCACCTTCTCCAGAGAGCACCGTTCTCAGCGTGCCCAGGTATGAGCCTTCATTGGCCTGAGCGATTAACCCTTCATAGATGCAGATTTACTCTCAAAACATTTTTATGTGTTCTTTGCTCAGAAGCTTAGCTTTCAGAAATTATTTAGCTCTGTACCTGCAAAGTCTTCTATCTATTTGTGAACATGTAACTTGGCCATGTTAATTTACATCAACTGGGGAACTTTTCTGCTTTCTTTCAGCTGGTGTTTCAGAGATAGAAAACTCATCTCAAGATACCTTGGGACTTAGCAAATTGGGAGGACAGGCTGAAAAAAACCGTAAACTTCAAAAAAAGTAAGCTTTTTACTTTTTTTCCATCTCATGGAACAGCTTTCAGAGTTAACATTGTTTAAGTCTTAGCTGCTTTTAATTGTAATATCTAGCTGTGCATATACATTGTCTTTTCAGAGATTAACGTAAAACCTTTAAGAACTTTCAGTGTTACAGATAACTTGCTGTACCATGTGTGCCATAGGTTTGTAACCACTGACCTAAGCCACTTTTAAACCATAATGTCTGAAGGACAGGGGAGATTTGTGAAATTTTGAAAGAACTCATGTATTCCCAGTCCACCTTTGCAAACTTGTCTGCTTAGGAAATAGAATGGGTAAGAGCTGAGTTTGGCCATGTAAGCTTTGGAGTCTGATTCCTGGTTCCTTCTACCTATGTGTCTCTGAGAAAATTACTTAGCCTCCTTGTGCTTTAGTTTTCTCATCTATAAAATGACAGTTATAGTTGTTCATACCTCATGTGGATTTTTTTAATAATACTTTATTAAAGTCTTTTATTTATGTACATATTTGGCACAGAGTCTGGCTATGCAGCTTGGACTTAAGTGATCTTCCTGTCTCAGTCTCCCCAGCATTAAGATTACAGCCATGCACCACCACGCCCAGTTTCAGGGACATGCATGGCATGCAATACCATGGATCGAACTTGGGCCCTTGCATTTGCCAGGCAGGTGTTTAGACCACTGAGCTATTTCCCCAGCCCTTGAACTTTTAATTCTAAACTAAACCATTTTTCTTTTTTTTTTTTTTTTTTTCCCGGAACCTGGGATTGAACTCAGGCTCTTGCACTTGCCAGGGAAGTGCTTATTCTACTGAGCTATCTCCTCGGCCTATAAACTAAATCTTAAAGGGTAGGGAGGATATGACTCAATGGTAGTACTGGCTTAGCATGCTTGAGGCCCTAGATTCCATCTCTAGTACCTTATCAACAAAGTCTTGATTCCAAAAGTAAGAAATGCTATTTAGAATAATTTTGGACAAAGGAGCATAGGCATCAGGATACCAAGGAAGAGTGTGTACACATCTCTGATGTAGGATGTATGGTATAAGCTGACCACACCCCAAGCTAGAGTTCATAGGTGAACTAGATAGGTTGAGACAGTTTCCTGGTGAGCTGGTGAATAAAAAAAGGTAAAACTTTCTGCCACAAAATGGACTGTGTGTAAAGTCTAAGAGATAAAAGTTCAAATTGACAGTAGAGAAAGAGATTAAAAGCCTAAAGGTGGTCACATTGGTCTTCAGTAAAGATGAAAGTTGATGGGCTCTTAGAAAAATTTGTGAGAAACACCATGTGGCCGTTTCTGAGTGAAGTAAGCACAGTCTGGAACTCAGGGTGCAAAGGCCCTATCCCCAAAGTTGCACTAGAGTCCCTAGGAACCCTCTTTTGTTAAGAGAGTTAGGCAGTCTGACTCACTTCATTTTTCTTCTCAGAATTCATGACTTCCCTTTATCTTTATTTTTAACTTGTATTAGTACATGTTTGCAGTACATGATAATCACATTTGTTCTAGGGAGTTGGTATGTGTACATGACACATTTCAATTCTTTCCCCCTTCCCTCCACCCTCTTTTTATTTTGCCAGAATCATATTCATGTATTTCTCTTAAACACCTTTATATATACAGATTAAAAGCCAGACTATTAGGCCAAAACACTTATAAAATACATAAGACAATTATACTAAATCAAGGTACACCTTTAGATACATTGTCCACTCTGAGTCACAGTAACTTCTTTTTTTTCCCCTATCTTTTATTTCATTCTTAACATATATTGTTTTTCATATTGTAATGACTTTTATTTTGTTTGACAGTTTTGCTTTGTAAATTCAGGCTGGCTTTCAACTTAATATACGGTTCAGCCTTCCAAGTGCATTCACCACCACGCCTGACCATAGTAACTGTTTCAACTAGCACACCATTGAGGTTATCCCATTGCAGGTGAAATTCTATTATGGGGACATTCTATGCGAATACTCAGCCTTTGATACTTTGTAAATAAAAATTTGCACTATTTAACTGCAAAATCTGATTTTAGCATTGCTATCTTTAAATAGAGTAAAAATATTTTAAAATAACTTAGGTAATTAGCGTATGGCTTTGTGGAACTTAATATTAAAATTAGTCCTTTTGCCTCTATCGTAGCAAAACAGTGTTGTCTAGATTTTACCACTATGTTTTATTTCACATCCTCATGCTTATTGTAATAAAAACAGTAAGGCGTGTGGGCCGCACAGCTTGGTCATCCCATACTGTTGCCTTCTGAAGTTTGAAAGAGAAGTTTCCCAGTATATTTTGCTGTGGATGTGGCTCAGTGGTAGAGCGCTCTCCTAGTATGCATTAAGGCCCTAGGTTCAATCCCCAGTACCACAATAAGAGCAAAAGCTAGCATAGCAAAATGTTTCACTGCTTTAAAAATTTATTTTCTGACTTTCAAGAGCTATGTTTGAATGCTTGAGACAGGCTTTGAATTATTTGCACAAGCACGTGGTTAAACTTCATACCAGGGATACATGTGTACAGATATATGTGCACAAATGTGTGTGTGGTATGGAAGGAGATCTCTGAAACTGTGAGATTCAAGTTTATGCCACTCACTGTCCTTTTTGGCTGTGGCAAGGTGTCTAAGGATGGGTCTTTTCTCTGTACTTTGTGGTTGTATGTTGGCTGCATGTTGTGAGTTCAGAAATAAACTAGCAAGTTAATAGGGTCTATTTGTTTATGTATTTTTGTACTGAGAATTGAACTCACAACCTCATGCTTGCCAGGCAGGCATTGTACCACTGAGCTGTATTCCTGGCAGTAGAGGAAATGCTAAAATAGTCATCTGACTACAGCTTGCAGTTTTATGTCTGTCAGTTAATCTAAATATATTTGATTTGAGGAAAGAGTATTCTGTGAATACGGGGTACACTATAACACTTTGGGCATCCTTGATGTAATATAGTAGTCAGCCCTAACTTGGCTGTTGGGTGTGCTTCTGGCTATTGAGCTACTAGGCTGTCACCTTCACTGAGGGAGGCTTCCAAGTACCCCATGCACATGCTGGACAGCTGTACTAACACTCTCAGAGTTACTGGAAGAACTTGGGGCCCTGCTAATACTTGAGGCATTCAGTAGTGAATCCATCTAGCACCAAGACCCAGACTCGAGTTCATTCATCAGCTCACAGCATCCTGTGTAAAGTTTCACAACTTCAATCTCTGAGTCACTTTGTCTTTTCAATGCTCTCCATCGTATTTTGTGGTCTGTAGTATACTTGCTTCTGGGAAGTCAGTTATACAACAAACCATGCTGTGTTGTGCCCTGAATCACACAGTGTGGAGTGTTGGTGTGACCAGCTTCCGGCTCTGTGCTAAGCTTCCCAAGAGTGTCTTTCTGGCTTGGTAAGAAAAGTTGCCTTCATTCTTTACTTCTTAAGGAACAACACACCTGTCCCTAAGACTGTTCCTCACACTGACAGGCGTGTAGAATGCCAGCCTGTGTCACAGAGCTGCATCCGTGAGAGAAAGTCTTCCTAGTCTTTTGTGCAAGACCTGTGAGGTTGAAAAGTGTCCATCTCAAAAAAAGAAAAGTGTCCATCTCATGGAAAGAGAGTGATATATTTACTCTGGAAAGTTAAAGTGCTTGCTGTATGTCACCTAGGTAATCTTTATCCATAGAAACCCCTGGAATAGACAGCTTTACCATCGCGCTTCTGCCCAAAGTTTAAGATGTGTCCTAGATGATTACATGACCTTCATTTTATGCATCTGTTCCCGCATACAATTTAGCATAGTTTGGTCTGGGAATGCAGCTTAGTTGTAGAACACTTACTTAGTGTGCTCAAAACCCTGGGCTCCATCATTAGCTTGCCAAAAAATACTTAAAATATCTGTCGCCTACAACTGTATGTATGTGTGAATGTATGTATGTATATATATATGTATGTATGTATGTATGTATGTATGTATGTTGATGATGGAGATCAAACATAGGACTAACCATCAATCTCTAATTTTAAAGGCAGGGCCGGGGAGATGGCTCAGTAGAATAAGCGCTTGTCTGGCAAGTGCAAGGGCCTGAGTTCAATCCCTGGTTCCACAAAAAAAATAATACTAATAATAATGATAATAATTTTAAAGGCAGAAAGCTTCCCATATCAATGTGCATTAGAGTGATATTTTGCGTGTGTGTGTGTGTGTGTGTGTGTGTGTGGTTTATTTGTTTCTTTGTTTTAGAAAGAATCTCAGTATGTAGTCCAGGATGGCCTTAAATTCTGTGTAGCCCAGATTGGCCTCAAACTCATGACAGTCCTTCTGCCTCAGCCTCGTGAGTACTGGCATGACAAGCATATTGATACCACAGCTGACGCTAGAGCAGATATTTTAAAAAATCACCCATGGTATCTGTTTGATTCAATGGGAAAAGCTGAAGACTGCAGAAGAGGAGCTCTGACCATGTCAGGAGCAAAGCAGCCCAGTGCCCAGCCACCCTCTGCAAAGGCCCCAGCTAGGCTCGCAGCCCAGATCAGTGGAGGGAAGCACTAGGACGCAGTGCCTCACGATCCAGGCAGCAAACAGATGCCGGCAAAAACTAAAGGGTCTTCTCTTGGGGCTGATGGTTACAGTGCATCAACCTGTAGGGCCACTGGTATATCACTCACATGCTCTTGGTAGATAATTGATGTGGACAGAAGATAGGCATTCTAGAAAGAGTCCTGTTACCCCCTGGTTACTGTGTTTTTGTTTGCTCTTTTTAAATTTTTTTGTGTGTGGGGGGTGTACTCCATGTATAATCCAGGCTGGCTTGAACTCATAGTAATCCTCCTACATTAATCTCCCATATTCTGGGATTACGGGTATATGCCACCATACCAGGCTGGGTTACCTTGTTTGAAACTTTGGAACTAATGACTAGAAGCATTCTTGTTATTTAGAAAATTGAGCAGTAAAAGAATGTTGCTAATGCTTAAATATTTTGTCATATTTATGTTTGCAGTTTTAGTAGAGTGGAAGGAAACAGGCGATTCCTCTTATTAGAAAGTGATTGTATGGGTAGCTGGGCAACCTTGCCCAAAGGGACAGTCAGACAAGTGAGTAAACACCATGTAGCTATTTGGTTCTTACAAGTTACAGATTTGGACATATATTGTCTGCATTAAGTATTCTCAGTTGCAAAAGAGACCCATTTGTAAGATCCAATGAAATAAAAGGTAGTTGTGCATATCACCATTCCAGAGAGCCAGAGTGGAGGTGGCCACAAGTGTCTGCAGGGTCCAGATTCTGCAGGGGCCTTCTGCACACTTTTGGAAACCACTCTTCCTCCATCACCTTCCCAAGAAAACGGCTCTGATGTGACTATCTATGGTGTTAGCTAAGGTTAGGTGTCCATTCTCATAGTTCATAGACTATCTGCTTGGAGAGTAGTAGCTACCTGTAGATGGAGCTTGGGCCAGGCCAACGTCCAGCCAGGATCTTCTACACTTAATTGCTAGCATCTCATGACTTTTGGATGCATTATTCCACTTCTACTGCCTTCAGACCCTTCCCACTGCTTCATCTGGACCCCGGGCCTATTTCTAAGCACTCGTAGTCATTGGTGAGAAGGAGGTGCCAGTAAAGGCCAGAGCAGTTTATACAAAGCTTCAGGTAGTGGGGGCTGAAGGGTCCCTTGTTCCTTGTTCACAGTACATCTCTGTTATATACTTAAAAAAAAAAAGATTCTGGCTCATGCAGTGGCATGCACCTTTAATCATCCGACCTACCTGGGACATCGACGCAGGAGAGTCCACAGATTCAAAGCTTACCTAGGCAGCTTAGTGAGAAACTGTCTCAAGACAAAAAAATAAAGTAAAAATGGCTGAGGATTTAGTTCAGTGATGGAGTGCTTTCTTGGTTCCATTCCCAGTACCATGAAAAATAATTAAAATTCCAACAAAGCCATTCTCAGAGTGCTGAGGACATAGTACCTACTTAGTCCACTTGAATGTGTGCACGCTCTGGAAGCCCTCCTGACCTGCCACAGTAGTCTTCCCACTTCTGGCCTAGACGCAGCATCTGGAACAGTCCCTTGCTTAATGTTATAGAAATTCAGATCTTTGCCTTGGAATCGACTTCCACTGCTTTCTGTGGCTTCAGGGTGTGTGTGTGTGTGTGTGTGTGTGTGTGTGTGTGTGTGTGTTTGTGTTTTGTTTGTTTAAATGAGTCATAGCAACTCCTAGCCAGGTTTGGCAGTCTTGCGGGATCACTTACTGCTTTTTGTATATATGAGCACACTTCTGCTGATCTTAGTGTCTTTAGGAGCAGTTTTGCTTGTTTCAATTAGGAAGCTTTTCTTTTTTCTCCATCTGAGATACTAAAACATTTGCTGTCTTCTCTGGTTCAGGTACTCCCTGGTTCTTGTTCCTGCAAGTCTAGGGGTGACCTAAGGAACTCATAGTTGAAATTTTACATGATGCAACATTTTACTTAGCATAAGCTTTAATTGTGATCAACTTTACAGTCTGAAAAAAAGGCTACTACTGTTGTTACCCAGTAATTATCTTTAGAAGTTTCTATAGAATGCTATGCTCAAATGATCGTAGAAAAATAACTGACTAAAAACAAACTAGTAATTTAAAAAGGGGGAGGTTGCTGAGAAATGTGCAGCTCAGTGGTATTGTGTGTGCTTAGCATGTGTGAGGCCCTGGGTTCCATCCCCAGCACCAAGTGAAAAAGAAACAAAAAGCCAGATATGATGACACATGACTGCAATCTTAGCATTCTAGAAGGCTGAGGCAGGATGATCACAAGTTCAAGCCCAGCCTGGGTGACCTGATGAGACCCTGCCTTAACTGTAAGAAAAGATGCTGAGTGTGTAGTTTAATGCAAAGGCCCTAGGTTCAGTCTCCATCCTTCAAAAGAGAGAGGGAGGGAAGAGAGAGATAGACTGACTGACAAACTGACAGACTGAAACTGACTTGCGTGTTTGTACACATAAATTTTTTGTTGTTGTTTTGTTTTAATTTATTTTTTATTAATTTTATTGAGTGTACACATAAATTTAACCGTACCTGTCTTCTCTATAAAATGCCATCCTCCCTACCAGGCTGTTAAGTCTCTTCTTTTAAAAATGTTATAGGTAAGCACTTCAAAAGAAGGACTTACATATTATGCTGTTAATCTTTCATATTACTATGTTAGATCATTTTTAGAGATGTTAGTATAGTAAAATTATGACTTGAGTATTTAAAAATAAAGCATATATGATACTTGCAGTCACATCAAGGAATGTATGCAAGACTCCCTGCCCTCTTCCCTGCAGCACAGCCTTGGTGTTGCATGAGTTTCCTTGTTCATGATACATTCTGCATTAAATGAGTGACTGGGATTTCAGGCCCTCTAAAGAAGAGACCTATGGGTTAAAACCACAGGATAACCCAGTGACTTAATTTTTAAGTAAGGACCAGGGAGATAGCTCAGTAGAATATGTGCTTGCCAGTGAAGCGTTTATTCCACTGAGCCATCTCCCTAGCCCCCACCTAAAAAAAAAAAAAAAAGTAAATGCCAGATGCATTGGTGCATTCCTGTAATCCTAGTACTCAGGAGGCTGAGACAGGAGGATCATTGCAAGTTTTGAGACCAGCCTGGGCTACAAAGTGAGCTCAAGGCCAGCCTGAACTGCATAATGAGATCGTGTCTCAAAGACAAAAGTAAAACCAACCAAATTTATCAAATAACTATTTACTTAAAAGAGCAGTGTGTAGTAGAAACTGTTATCTATTACTTGTTTGCTGTATTAGATGATAGCATTTTTATTGTTAAAAATTTGCATTGCAGCCAGGTATATGACAATATACTTATAATCCCAGCACTGGGGAAACTGGCTACACAGAATTTGAGGCCAACCTGGACTACGTGCATAGCAAGACCTTGTCTCAACATGCCCTAAACCTCTTCCCCCCCCCCCGCAAAAAAAAAGGCATTTTTTTTTTTAAGATTCTTGTAGAGATAGGCACTGATATCTTGACTGTGGTGTGGTTTCCTCTTCCTAAACATTTTTCCTTCATTGTTTAAAAAAGAAGCAAAGCCAGGTGTGGTAATACATGCCTATAATCTCAGCACTTGAGGCAGAGGCAGGAGGTTCGTTGTGACTTCAAGACCAGCGTGGGCTACAAAGGGAGCTTAAGGCCAGCCTAAATTGCATAATGAGACCCTACCTCTTAAAGACAAAATACTTCTTTTTGCGGTACTGGGGATTGAACTCAGAACCTTGGGTGTGCCAGGCACGGGCTTATGCCACTGAACTATCTTCTCCAGCCCAACAAAAATAAAGAGGGAAGCAGTGTTTTGTTTTCCCCTAATTGTGCTATTACCTTGGATGTGAAAATTCTCCCTGGATTGTATACGTTGGTAGTAATTCCTAAATTCTCTGAAGTAATGGTGATTTGCTTGGGAATCAGGGGAATGCTAGCTTTTTTTTTTTTACTCAGGCCTTCTCCATAGTACGTATGAGACTGGCATTAGGAGGGGGATGTTAATAACATTAAGGCTGTAGAAGATGAAAGGAAATGAGAATACCATTATTATGCTTTTGAAAATGCTCATAGAGAGTACTCCATTAACTTATTTTATGTGTAACAGTGATTCTTTAATTTGAATGTCTTATTCACAGACATGAGCTGCTGGAGGAAGCCCGGAGGCAAGGCTTACCATTTGCGCAGTGGGACGGGCCAACGGTGGTTGTATGGCTGGAGGTACATCCCTTTAATACCTAGTTGGTGCTGCATGATGCAGACTTGTTGATTCATCTCCTGTCTCTGCCTGATGTTCTCGTCTCTTCATTCTTATTTCCAGCTCTGGGTTGGGATGCCCGCCTGGTATGTGGCTGCCTGCAGAGCAAATGTGAAAAGTGGGGCCATCATGTCAGCCCTGTCAGACACAGAGATCCAACGAGAGATTGGCATCAGCAACCCACTGCACAGACTGAAGCTGCGGCTGGCCATCCAGGAGATCATGTCTCTGACCAGCCCGTCTGCCCCGCCCACATCGAGAACGGTGTGTTCACAGAGGCTTTCTGTGTGTTCTCTGGGGAGAAGAAAGGCAGTGTCCTGCCAGCATTGCTCCCCTGGTGCTCCATAGTCATACTCAGGGTGTTTTCAACTTAAAATCTCAGTAAAGCGTAGTATAACCCATAAGTTGTGGGAACTGAGTGATCCAAAGAAAATGTGTCAGATGCTCATATAACAGCTTGGTTAGAAAGGGCTCATTTAAAAAATGAGGCTGTTTTGAAAGGTAAAAAATTGGTTGGCACAAATTTACGTATGAATTTATCAGAACTGAGTAAATCTAAGGACCTCTCAGTTTTGATAAATTTGACAAATTTTTGAGGAAGAAAAAATATTGTGATATTTTTTGAACTTCATTTTCTATTTTATGGTTCAAACTGAATGAGCACTTGTCCTGTATATAGATACTTGTTAAGCAAATTGTATGCTGTAAATGTTAAGTTTGTGTTCAACTATACAGATAGCAAAATGTACAAATAAGCCCAGGACTATATAAACCCTCACATACGTTCCCCAGGGTGTAAATGAACACCTGACTCCTGGCACCCAAGCTAGAATGGGGTTGTGCTGCCCTTTCTTGTATATGGCATTTTTCCTTCAGTGTTCTATGTATGAGTGCATCTGTGTCATTTCACATGTAGGCTGGACTTAAGGAGTAGCTTTCTCTGTCCACTGCTGGGCTCGGGCTCTTCCCTGCACCGCTGAGGTGCCTGGGAAGTACAGCTGACATGTGAGCAAGGGAAGGTCACAACCCACTAATCTGGAGAATTCTAATCTTCTCAGTGGACATTTTCTTCCCACAAAAACTATAGAGGAGGAAAAACAAGCTCAGTGGTGCACTGGAGCTGGCGTGTCACTGGGGCCAGCAGGTGCTCTCCTCCGTCTTGGGAGCTGCAAGGTGTCTGCCCAGCACTGCCTGTGCTCACATAGGTGCTGTCCACTTGGAGAGTCTTGAAGGGCCCTCAAAGAGGTTCCTGGTAACTATTCTGATGAAACATTAATGTCTATTAGGAGGTAAGAGCAGTTCTGCTCCTAACTTGCAGAGTTCAGGGTTTTTCATCTGGCTGTTCAGTCCTCTGCGTTAGAAAGGAAACACTCTCAGAGCCTTGTAGACATACTGCGTAGCAGACCAGGGTCTGCCTGCAGCTCACAGTAACTTTTTTTTTTTTTTTTTAATTTATTTATGTGTGTGTGTGTGTGTGTGTGTGTGTGTGGCCAGCTCAGCCCACCAGGGGCGGGGCTGGTGGCATGTGGTGCTGGGGGATTGAACCGCGGTCCC